CGCCCGGGAAGCACAGGGCCGCCCACGCTTCCCCAGCTTTGCTGTCCTCGCGGACCTAGAGGTGGCCCGGAATTGCCCAGGATCTAGTTCTGGTCCCACCCGCATGGATCCCTCTCAAACTCCGCTGCCACTGAGGTGAGGCGCTTTTCGCCCGAGATTGTGATTCTGCACGAATTCTTTAGTTGGGGTGGCTCAGCGTTCACTGGCCTTTGCCCTCGTAGACACGACCTCTGGCTAGGGACTTCCAGGTGGGTGTTTGGGACACAGAGGTCTTAGTTCCCTGGAATTCGTTTAGTCTCCTGCAGCCTCAACTGGCAAGGGTCTGGCAAGCTTCGGCGGGGACCCCAGGCTGGGGCCAGCTCTGGGAGCCGCTCCTGTGGCGTCTGGGGGGAGGGGAGCAAAGATTTTGGGGAGTGCCAGGCCCTCTCCTCCCGGGCCTCTCAGCCGGGTGGCTGTAACCTAGTCCTGGACGACGACAGGCTAAGGGCCCTGAAGGTCTGTCTGGGATCCTGGTCACGGCGCGGGCTGAACTTTCTGTTCCGTCACAAGGTCCCAAATAGTGCGCAGGGTCCGTGGCAGCCCTTATGGTGCACTTAGGGGCTTGGGGGTCACCTCCCCTCCCCAAGTTCGCAAAGAATCTGGAGATCCCGACATTTCCCGGATTCCGGTCTAACTCCCTGCTGGGCTGTGGGCTCCTCAGGCTTGCGATTTGTCTGAATAGGGTATCCCGGATTAGGAGGCCGAGGGAGTCCGGGATCCACGGCCTTTTCGCCGTCTTTCTGAGTTTGGAATTCCCCAAAGCTGGGAAGGCGCGGCGCGGCGCGGCGCCTGGAGCTCAGGCTCTGCGAGAGTTCTGCCTGGGGCCTAGAAAAGGTCTTTTTCGTTTTAGAAAACCTAACGGAGGCCCTGGGCCTGCGGGACCTTGCTCGTTTTCTGGGAGCGGCTCAGGTTTGGGGACGTCGGGGAGAGAGGAGGACTTTACTGACTCGATGGGCCTGGGGAGAAAAAGGCTGTTCGCACCGCCGAGGTTGTGTGCATCGCAGCCGTGGAAATCGTGCAAGGTTTCCAAATCGCCGCCGGAGGAGAGGAGTCTGGTGTTTTTTTTCCCCTCTCGTTAGGGTCCTGTGCGCTGCAGGCGGGTAGTCTGGGCCAGGCATCGTTTTAGGAAGCCCTGTGGCCTTTGAGTTTTAAGTGGTGTAGAGTAGGGATTGTTTTCAATTTGGCTGGTATTCGAGGTTGACTTCTCTGCATCCCCAGTCCCTCCAGGAATGAAAAGGCACTGTGGGCTAAGGATCTGTGAATTTAGTTCCTACTTCCCCTCTCTGCGAACCAGCTGCGCCTATGTATATGTAGGCGGTCAGGAAAAAAAAAAAAATCGAATTTGCTGCCTAGTGAGAGCAAATTATCCAGATAATTGGCTCAAATTTCTCTCCTTTGTGGCTGGAGTAGACTCAGTCTTTGGACAAGAAACCAAGCATTGCTACTCAGGAGGGAGTTGCACACCTTATTCCACCCTCGCAGATCACAGGAGCGCAGACTCCTGCAAGGATCCGGGAACCTGGCAGCGGCGGCACAGCCCAGGCACTGCAAGTGGAAGAGTGCGGAGGCGCGGAAACCCGCCCCTAGCGAAGGCCGGCAAAGGAGAGCACTTGGGGCCTCAAGATGTGCTCTTTCCGAGGGCAGTCTCAAGGATCAGCTTCACAGACTATGGGTGAGTGTCTGGGGACTTCTGCACCCTTCTTCCCGACACTCATATCCATGATGTGTTCCAGTCCGGAAGAAGGAGTCATTTCTCTGGTGGAAGCAGGAACCTGGTCTACACACACCAGCACCCCCCTATTGAACAGTAAATGAAGTTTCCACCTAAACCCCAGCCACCAGGGGCCTGGAATAAGGACAGAAGCTGGTTCTTGTCACCCTCCTGGAAGCTGGCATTCTGGAGAGCAATTGATTGAGTCGAACCATTGGCGTTCTCAGTCTAGTGGGTTTTGAAGTCAAAGGGGGAGAACCCTATCCTGGATCATAGCTTCCACCCCTAAACAGATGCAATGCCCTCCCACATTTGGCAGACACTTGTGATGATGGCCACACTGTCAGGCTCCCAGGTCAATCACTGGCTTTGGGTAACCTTCAGACATGCTAAAGTGAGAAGTTACAAAGGCAGATCGGCTGGACACAGAACCCCTTTGATGGAAGAGTTACAAACACACAGATTCCCCTTAGGGCAATGCCTTGAGCATCAGCCCGGAGCAATCCACAGGCACAGTGTCTACACTCCCTCGACCTCTGTTCCCCCCCCTCCCCCCGCGCTTTCTGGGCCTCGCTGCTCAATTCTCCTGCGGGGTCTCTGGTCCTCTTAGAGGCAAGCTCTACCTCCCCCGCGATCCCATTCCACCCCCCTCAGCCCCTTCCCCTAGTCCCGCTCGGCCGCCCCGCGGTGCCCATGTAAATGACAGCAATAAATATCTAATCAAGGCCCGAGGCGACGCTGCGGCCCGCCAAAGCCCATTACCAAACGCGGGCGGGCAAGCTAGGTAGGGAGGGGCACTGGAGTGGGTGAGCTTCGGGCGGGGTTCGTCGGGCCTACACATTCGTCCTGAGCTGAGTACCCCTCATGTCTGACCTTGAGCGATCTCAGTTTGCCCCTTCTGTGAGAGGGGCACCGAGCTGGGCTTGATATCCAACGGGGCACTTCTATATCCTGTCAGGTCCTCCGGCCACGGCCACCAGCTCTGGCTGTTTACTCACCGGTCCCTTCTTGGCACAATTTATTTGACTCGACCCTAGCGCTGTCTGAAGGGCGGGAGGTTCCGGGTCACAGCCCCCCGACACAGCACTGCTGGCGCTGGCTTTTACAGTTCTTTGGACTTCAGCTGGGTTTGGGCCAGGAAAGGAAAGAATCTCTTGGATTCTCGATCAGCTGGCCTGATCGCCTTTCATGGATGGGTTGCCCTTCCTGACCAGTCTACCACCGCTGTGGGCACTGCTTCAGGGTACCCTGAGGTGCCTGAAACCCACCGAGGTTCTCGGCCCCTTCCAGACTCCACGGCTCCAGCTGCCAGTGTTGGTTTGCGTCCGCCCCTCTGTCCCGCGTCTGTGGCGCGCAGCGGGGCCTGCACCTCAGACCTCCCCTGAGCTCTTCCAGCGGTATGGGCCCTGGCTTCGGCCTGGAGGACCTTCTCCACAGAGAACTCTACAGCCTCTGTTTCTGGGCCGGCCCTCGTCCCTGTCTGAACGAGCCCAGAGCGGTCCGGCGCGTCGCAGGACTGTGCGCCAGGGCAAACCTTGACGGCGGAGCAGCCCCTGCGGTGCCCAGGGGAGGCCTGGAGCACCCCGCTGCCCGACCCTGTCTCCTGTTCGGTTTCCGCTGCTTTCAGGTCCCCTGGGTCTTCCTCTCTGGCGCTTTAGCTGCCTCTGTCGGAAAGGAAACGAAGGATCAAGCAATTACCCGACAGCTCCACTCTCCCGGCCTGCGGTCAGGCCCCTCAGCCTCCCGGGTCGCCAGCCCGCATTTAACAACCAGTGCTGGACCGGAATTCGAGAAAAAACAACCATGGAAACTTGCCTGTCCCATCTTTTCTCCCTATTCCCACCACATTTCACTGCTTTAAAAAAAATTAATTCCAGCCGCCCGATTTCTCTGCACCGCCGACATTAAGGACCTCGGAAAACCAGACTGCAAGCACTAGCCCAGGGGCCTTCCTCAGTCTCGGACCATTAGCCTGCGGGGGGCTAATTACCCCAATTAGCGGCTGATTTATAATTAATGGCTCGGACCGAGGGATAATTGGATGTTAATGG